ATTGGGAACAGGTAGGTTGGCTCAGGTGTTTGATGCCTTTGTAGAGCGATAATGTGGATCAGGAACCATAGAAGGACTCCTCCGAAGCCCGCGCAAACACGACAGGTACCTGGCTGCCTCTCGAACAGACAGCCCGGCTGACACAGCACACTGTCCTTAAATAGCCTGCATGATGCGAAAGTTCCAGGCTGAGTTGTTTTGAATCGGTCTCTCAGTGATAGTTGCTTTATGCATTTTATTACTAAATATTAAACATTATAATATAACCACTAAAGTGTATTGAACACAAACATAACACCTAGAAACCATGCTACACCGTCAGTCTCCGCAGTCGGTGAGGTGCCCATAGCATAGTCCGGGTCTATGGGCTCTTGCACTTGGAGCGTCACTGGCCCTTCTGGAGAAGCCTGCAGTTCGCATCCTTCCTCCTCCACAGCCAGCTCTGATTGACCTGGGTTGCCTCCTTTTATCTCTCTCTTACACCTGGAGCATGCACAGCAGGGAAAGGGGGCGTGGCCTCCTGGGCCCATTGGGATTGGTCCGTTTCCGTTGGCCCAATGCGGAGTTGGTACACCCTGTCACAGAGTCACCAGACTAGGATCAGGAGACCAGGGTTAAATTCCTGACTATCACAGACTTCCTGTGAGACCTTAGGTAAATCACTTAATCTCTGTTCCTGAGCTCCTCATGTATAAAATGAGGATGATAACACTTCCTTTCTCTCACCCTTTGTCTGCCCTATCCATCTATACTGTAAGCTCTTCAGGATAGAGACTGTCTCTTAATGTGTGTATATATTATTCCTAAAACATTGGATCCTCAGTCCTGGTTGGGCCCTCTAGGCACTATTGCAATATAAGACAGTGAAATAACAGAACTGTGCTTCAGAGTTGCTATATTTTTTTCAGAACAACTCAAAATCCGCATGTTAAGTATTCATGCTCTAATGGCCAAACACCGTTCTGTACATTCTGTCTTGTTTGTAATACTATCTCTGCCTATGCCACTACTTCCTCTGTAGTGCTTTTTGGTTCTAGATACATTATTAATAAAAATATGATAGATATCAATTTCCATAAGTAGAGAAACTATTTAGAAACAAAATTGACTGAGGAAGCTCATATTGAAAATGGAAAAACCGAAAAACAGAAAAATCCTGTAGAACACCCATAAAAGTCCAATCTTGATGGAAATATATTGCTTGTGGATTGGCAACAATTCAAGAGGAAGGCCTACCAATGCTGTTTTTTTACCAGAGTGGTCCTCCTTTGTATTCATTCACTAAGGCTCTGCTCCTGCAGAGATTTCCATGCCGGCAGTCCCCTGCATTCGCACAGAGATCGTTGTTGGACTGGAACCTAACATGAGCCAAGTTCTTCTCACTGTGGACAAAAGAATAATTAAATTCATCCTGGGAAATAAGAACAGAGGCTCAAATAAGACTGTATATGTGTTCATTTTATTAATCAGGCAGCAAGTAATTCAAGGACAGGAAGTATTTACAACCCTTTAAGAACCATTGGCTCAATCTGGCTACTGCTGCCAGTTCTTCAGCATTTATATGGACTTCTCTATAAAGGCTAGGATTTTCAGAAGAGCCTAAGAAAGGTAGGTCTCCAAATCCCTTTGGATCTGGGTACCTAACTCCTTTAGGCACCTCTAAAAATCCCAGACTGGTTTTAGTTTGGCTTCTCCTGCTGGTGACTCCAAACCCTGAGGAAAGCTCTCATTTCTTCTCCCTCTTTCACATAGCAATGGCTCCTAGTAGAGACAGCTAAGCTAGTTCTCCTGCGTTCCATCTGCTTTTACAGGCTTCTAATTCCTTATTTACAATGAATTAGCTAAGAAGCAACTGGAAAAAAGGAGACCCAAGATCATGTGACCCATCAGCTCTCCAGGGGCCAGCAGTGGTTACAAAGGCAACAGACTGCAAACCTCTGAAATACAGATTCCATCATAATTCACTCTCCCCCCTCCAAGTATGTTATCCATCATATGTGTATGGCTGTGATAATGAAGACTGTAGCATTTGTGGAACGTCATAAGAGAGAAAATTTATTTTACCATAGATATTAACTGGAGATAGACTGTGATCTTTCCCAAGTCTTACTATGTAACATAGTCTGTCACACTTTGGTGGCAAGACAAAAAAGATGTGGGCATTTTCTCAGGACAATAGAGGACTCACATTCCTACAAAGGTGTTTGGTAGGATAGGTCCAATTGTGGACAAAGTTTACAAGGTTCGCTTTGTCTCTGCTAGAAGTCTGACTATCTCTTCATAGTTTTTAATATTGGAATATTTGTCAGTGACAACCACATAAACATGTTAAAGGCTACGAGTGACAGTAATTTATACCATATTTTGCACATGCTCAGTCTAATGGTGAGCTGTGATCTAAATATTAAAGATTCATTCATACAATCTGACAGCCTTCCTGGCATTAAGCCACAACTATCGACATTCCGGAGCAGACACAGTAGGATGGTGAAAAAGGAACAGACTACTTTGTTGCCACAAACGCAAAAAGGAGGTGGGAGGAACAGTTGTCTAGTAATGAGAGCATGGGACTGGAGTCAGGATTTCTGGGCTTTGTTTCCAGTTCTGTCACTGACTCACTTTGTGATATTTGGCAAAATGCTTAAGGTCTCAGAGCCTCATTTCCCCATCTATACAAATAGACACAGTGCTACTTACCTCCCTCACAGGAGTGTTGTGAAGCTTAATTAACACATGCAAACATGTGAAGATCCTCAAATTAAAATATTATTACCAGTCATAACATTTGGAAGGCATTAGGGCAGCAGTTCTCAACCTTTTTCTTTCTGAGCTCCCCCAGCACCATCACCACATGCTATAAAAATTCCACGGCCCACTTGTGCCACAACTGTTTTTCTGCATATCCAGGAGATTACAAGCCAGGGCTGGCGTTAGGGTGCAGCAAGCAGGGCAACTGCCTGGGGCCTCACGCCACAGGGCTTCAGCTTGAGCACTGGGTGGCGGGGCTCGGGCTTCAGCATTCTGCCCCGGGACCCAACAAGTCTAATGGCAGCCCTGCTCTCTGGCTTATTTTGCCAGACCCCCGGAAACCTGCTCGTGGCCTCCCAAGGGCCCTAGACCTCTGGTTGAGAACTGGTACACTAGAAAATACCAGGAGAAACTTACTGATGGCAACTCATTTTATAGGATCGAAGTTGATGCAAAGTACTGATCTAATCACTTGTGGCTGAAAAGACTAACCATCTAGTCCAAACTAGCTAAGGATACCACATATTAACTGGGAATAACTTCCACTTTGTTTTCAAGAATTTTCAGCACATTGCCTCATCCAACAGCAGGAGAGGTTTCTAAGAAGTTTAACATGTTAGCATTTTATTCACTACATGTCAGCTGTCCGTATGGCTTTGGTGCTACTTAGCCCCACTTTCACTCTAGAATATGAATTTTTGAAAATATTAGTGATATTGTTGTCCCTTGAGCTAGTTCCTTTCCATAGCCAATTGGTCAGCATCAAATTTCTGAATGAAACTATATTGATATTTCTGTATAAAAGTCATCTCAGAAGGCAGATATCATACTGGAACTGTTGGCTCTAAGTACCGTGGACAGATGCACCATATTGCATCAATGTGCAGCAATGGCACCATAATCAAAAACAAATGGAACCCCCAGAAGAGTGTTGCTACTTCTGATCAGAATGTGGATCAATCCATCCCAATGATAAAATATCCCATTATTTCTTTAATTCTTGTTAGCCGAGAGCTAACACTTGATCAAAGTTTATATTCCTGAGTGTTATTCAGTGTTGGAAGTCAGCTGCAACAACAAGAGACTAAATGAAAGTGAATCTTATGTTCCATCTATCAGGTGAAAAGCTATGTTGTTGCAAGGTCTAGTTTAATGGTTCTCAAACTTTTTTTTTTGCGGACCACTTGAAAATTGCTGAGGGTCTTGGCAGACCACTTAATGATTTTTCCAAATGTTGTTTGTACTGGTAGCTAACTATTGTAAAGCGCTTTGGGTAAAAGCGCTATATATAAAAAAACCTTAATAACAATTAACGTGTTTTTGTTCTGCAAATAAAAGCACACAACTCATATTTTAATATCAGTAGTCTCACTTTTCTAATGCAATGGATGTGCCCTCTCTCCCTGGTTGCAGCAGCCCCCAAGCTGGGGCTGGGAGGGGGATATCTCCCCGCGACAGCAGCCACAGAGCTGAGGCTGGGAAGGAGGGCTGTCTCTCCCTGGCAGCTGCAGCACTGGAGCTGGGGAAAGTCGCCTCTTTCTCTGGCTGCCGCAGCCCTGCACATCCCAAATTCTCCTCACACCCTCTTCTCACCCCACTGCCCCCTCCCACTTACCCCTTATTCCCTCCAAGGCCACCACCTCAACTTACATGTGCGTCTTCTCCAGGGTCAAGGCACCTAATTAGTGGAGCCACGCCTGCACAGCTCCACTAATTAGATGGATGGCCCTTCATTCTTTTGTGTGCGGCCACTCAGGTGCACACCTTAGAGGGAACTATCCGCGGAACACCTGAATGGAGCTCATGGACCACTGGTGGTCCACGGACCACAGTTTGAGAACCTCTGGTCTAGTCAAGATGTTAAGACGCCACACAGTTAAAAAAATGGTTCAGTCTTGCAATATAGATCCTGACAAACCATTTTGACTGTATTCTTGAATTGTGGTATGCTCTTCTTTAGCCTTGGTATGCTAGGGATTTACACACACCCCACTTTTGCTACCACTAATTCAGTTATACTGGCATTAGTAAAATTGGGAGCGCTACAGTAGATTTCTCACTGTTTTTGGCAACTGTTTTCAACGCTGTGTTAATTAGATTTGCTCAGAATTGGCAGTTGAACCTGCGTTGGCAGCAGCTGGATTTTTTGTTAAAATGTCCCAGTATAGACAAGTCTGATTTAAAAGTTCTGCTTCATCTGTGCTGCAAGCCTGAAGTGTCTGGGTACTGTGTTGTAATCAACACATTAACTTTTCATGGTGTAAACTTTCTGGCTCTTTCCTGTACACCCGGGGCTACACCCCTGGCATATTACCAACACCAGTGTCGTTATTTAGCCATCAAACAAGTGTTTGCAGTTCTGTTTTTTTGCTGCTAGAGTTAAACTGGGCAAATGTGGTTCCCTCACCCCCATGCCTACCCCAAGCTCAGACCTCTCTCCGTTAGCAGGTTTTTAAAAAAACAAAAAACAAAAAAACAAAAAAAAACCCGTGGACTGCTACTAGTTAACTTGTATAGATTAGATTTCAGAAGAAAACCCGTTCTCTCTCTCATCAGGCGAGAGAGCTCCAGGGCAAGGGAGGGGAGCAGCACCTCCCTAGGAAGACCCCTGAGGGCTCCTCCTGTCGCTCCCCTTGGGTTTCCAATTTCAATTTTTAGTGATCTCCAGCAGCAGGTGCTGGTTTCTAACCCAGCCTCCCTCCAGCAGGAGGAGGCGGCGGCGGCGGCGGCTTGCTTGGTGCTGCCGGAGGAGAGGAGCGCTGAGCACAGGCTTCCCCTTTCAGCGCGTCTGTCTCCCAAGCAGCTCCTGCCGTGAACAGGGATGGAGGAAGCGAAATGCAGCAGCCCCGGCGATGCTAGGGGGGAAGCAGGCGTCTCGCCCCAGGGTTAAGTGAAGTCGGCTCCCCCAGCCAGCACCGCAGGGAGCCGAGCCAAGGGGCCCCGAGGCGGCGGCTCGGGACATGCTGCTGCTGCAAGGAGCCTGCGAGTAGGTTGAGGAGCAACCGATTCGTTCCGCTGGGCAGCGGTGGGACGGAGCGGGAGGGATCCCGATCGCCCCCGGGGCAGAGACCCGGGTAAGGGAGCAGGCGGCGAGCGGAGCTGGCGGCGCAGGGAGCGCGTAGCCCGGACAGGGACCCGAGGGGGATCAGGGAGCTGGCGGGAGGGAGGGCGTAGCCAGGTCAGGGCGCCGGGGGTGGCAGGGCAAGGCGAACTCGGGGGGCGTAGCCGGGGCAGAAGAGGGGCGGGGGATGGAAGGAACTGGGGGGGGGCGTAGCCGGGGCAGGACGCTGGGGTGGGAGCAGGAGTTGGGGTTGTCGCCAGGGCAGGGAAGTGGGGGGCGTAGGCGGGGCTGGGAGGGTGTAGCCAGGACGGGAAGCCGGGGGAGGGTAGCCAGGGCAAGAGGAGCTGTGGGGGTAGCTAGGCCAGGGCGGTCGGGGAGCATACGGGGGGGGATGTGGCCAGGACCGGCGACAGGGAGCTGGGCCGTGGTAACTGTGGCGCAGCGTGGGCGCCTCCCCGGCGTGTCCTGTGGCCATGGCGGCGGCCGGCGAGTTTCCGCTCCGCGCTGCGGGGTCTGGAGACAGGGGTAGCGGGCCCGGGCCGGGCCGGCGTGTGACTAAAGTCGGCTGCGGGGCTGCTGCTGCCCGCTTTGTTTCCAGGCCTTGGCTGCCGGTGGCTCCGCGAGGTCGCGTTGGTGAGATCACCGGGCTAGCGGCGCGCCGAGCGGCCGACTTGGACGCCGGGCGGCTGCCGCTGTGAGGCGCGGCGGACGCTCAGTGGTTTCATGCGAGGTAAGAGTCCCGGTACCTGCCGAGCCCTGCTGCCGCCGAGCAGCCCGGTCCCTCCTCCATCCCGTCTCACCGGGCAGCCCCTCCAGCCTCCCGTCTCTTCTCCCTCCCCACCCACCAAGCAGCCCTGTCCCCTCTCCCCACATCCCGCCAAGCGCCCTGCTCCAATTGCCCGCTGTCCCCCCACACCCTCTTGCCTCCGTCCACCAAACGCCGCTTTCAGTCCAGGCAGCCGCTCCAAAGACAAGGCGGGGGAGGTCATATCTTGTACTGCACCAGCTTCTGTTGGTGAGGGAGACGCGCTTTCGAGTTACACAGCGCTCTTCGGAAGCTGGTCCAGTAAAAGAGATGACCTCGCTTGCCATGTCTCTCTAATATCCTGGGACCCGCAGGGCTACAACAACGCTCCCAAACCAAGCCTCCTCAAAGTCTTCTCCAGAGACACCCCAAATCCAGCCTTGTCCTCCCCCCCCCCCCCAAAATAACACATTTTAGCTTTAATCCTAGTTATCTGGAAGTCTCTGTTCTTGTCCATATTTATGAAGATAGCATGTGTAATCCAAGGGCTGGTGAGAGCTGGGCCATGTTCTTTAGGAAAGGGTTGTATTTTAGGATTGGAAAAACTCTATACCATAAAACTTCCACTGTTTCAGGGACACAGACCTATGGCTTGGGGAACAGGCCATCTGTGATGAGACAACTGTTCCCCTATTGTGTTGACTTCTGAAAGACTTCCTCCATTTTCCTGTCCATTTTCCTTTTCCTTGCTTGTGATCTAACACCTCTTGTGAGATGGGAAGAAGCCTTGTCACTCACTTGCATGCATAATGGTGTTTGATCAGTTCCTTTCAGGTAGTCAGTTTCAACGGCTTCATTTTCTTAGGTGTACCATAGTGGAAATATTTGTTTAGAGTCAAGAGCAGTTGACTTTGTGTAGCTAATAATTAATCATTACTATTTGGCTAATTCTTTAAACCTGTTTCTGTAACTCTGTGTTCAGAGTTAATAGAAACAGTTATATTAAGGGGCATGTTTAACTTAATATATAGCCAATTTAAGGAGGAGTTTTAAAGTAGTTTCATGTGCAACACTTGTCTTACTGTTCCTCTTTTGTTGGTTATTATGGTATTAACTGTACTTCTCGGTATTTAACAGACAAAATATTCATTCCTACACTGCTAGGTGAAAGTGCCACAAATAGTGAAAACAGGAAAGTCACTATACAAAAAATGCTATTACGTACACTAAACAAATATAATTTTTTGGGGCCAGTCATAGGTGTTGTTTATAATGCTAGTAGGAAATTTTTCAGACCCAAGTGTGGGTTTTTTTAGAAAATTGTACCTTTAAATTAAAAAGTTTTCATCCTCTTCTGTTGTCTTAATTTAGACTTAATTTTGCAAACACCCCTGAGAAATTTTATGCATATGAACAATGTTTGTAGGATTTAGGTTCTAGATTGTGAACTCTTTGGGATAGGGGCCTGTTTTATGCTGTGTTTGTACAGCACCTTGCACAATGGAGCCCAAATCCTATTTGGGGCCTTTGAGCACTTCTATACAAATAATTTTGCTACAGTCCAAGAATATTTTGTTCAAGATCACTCTTGATTGTTAGTTTTAGGGGGGGGAAATCCACAGCTCTGAGTAGTGGCTCACATTTAGTGACCAGCGAAGGTCATTAATGTCAACTTTGACCATATATACTGAAGATGAGTGTTTAGAAGTTTAACATAGCCTTCTGATATAGAAAGAAACTAAGCCATTCATGTACCTTCAGGGTTTTCAAGGTAACAGATTGCTCCCTTTCCAGTATATCTGTTAAACACTTACTGGCAGGGATTGTCTATATCAATGGTTCTCAACCAGGGTCCATTCAGTTTACTGGAACATTAGTTAATACTTACTGTATTTAGTATATCTAGCTGCAATGCAAGAGCACATTTCTCTAGATGTACTTGGTGAAGTCCTTTGTTGAAGTGCATAGTAGTGAATGGATATTGAAAGCAATGCTGTTTTATTACCAGCTTGCTATGTCAACATTCAGTAACTTTACAGCTGCTTTAGTAATGTAGGATAGCACTTCTTAAATTAGGCTTAAAGGACATGGGTCACATGGAAGTTTCATAATTTGGCATGCATTGTCCCAGTATGCTCTCGGTCTCCTGTATTCAGTGCTTGTGAGTTTAGAAAAATACCACACATCTTGATTTTAAAAAAAAATAAATTCTGGTGGAATTTTCCTAGGGTGTAAAAGTCGGAGAATCAGATGGTAATTTTCAAAAAAAAAATGATTGAGCATAGGTATTATCCAGGACTTTGCTCATCTGTCTGTGGAGACTGTGGTGTTTATGCATAGACGGAGTCTCAGAATGTTGGGCTGAGTATTAATCTGTTGGAATGATTTAATTACTAACTTTACTGGATGGATCTGTGCTTTAAAAATATCAAGTAATGATATTCCAGAGACTTGTCTTGCTGCTCAAGGAGAACTAGATTTTTGATACTAGTTAACCTTTCAAGGGTTAGAGTTCAGTTTGGCTCTGATGAGCACACAAACATTTTCGTGTTTTCAGAATGTCACTTTCTCAGTTACATAAACTTGAGTTGGAAATTTCATGAGACTCATCTTTCTTGTGTGAGATTTCTGGTAGTCCCTGCTTCCAGCTGAAAATATCCCCAACAGTGAAATGAAGACAAAGGCAATGAAAGTGAATTAAAAAATAAAAAAATCAGACTACAAGTTTGGTTTGGGTAAGATCTTGTTTTAGCCAACATAGCTTGCCTGTAAACAGCCCAGAAATTCCTAGATTTAGGCCAAAAGGGATTTGGGTTCTAGTTTAACTTCCTGCATAACATAGACCATAGAACTTCACCCAGTAATTCTTCCATCAGGCCAATAACTTCTTGTTTGAGCTAGAATTTCATCTTTTTAGAAACATATCCAATCTTTATTTGAAGACTTCTAGTGATAGTTATTCCAATGGTCCAGCCATTGGATCTCATTAGGCCTTTGTCTTCTAGATTATAGCTTTCCTATTATGCATATCTCTTTAAGTATATCTTAGCCATGAAAAAATTCTTTGATACGTACTAGTGGCAATGGGAGAGGGATAACGGTTACTCAGAAAAATGCTAGTAAATTTAGGATATTTAATGCTGTGATTTGCAACATTTAACTTTTTCTCCCCTTTTTGAAACTATTATGCTGTCTCTCTCACTTTTCAGTGTCACATTTGGGACATGGCTAGGATGAGTTATTGGATGGATATCGTTAAAGAAAATGAATAGTCTAGAGACTTTCCTAGACTTATTTATTTCCAGAGTGCCTATTGCCAGGGCAGCTAGCTAAGTGTTTCCAACTGTTAAGACAACTGCAAAATAAAGACTACCTGGAGGTCCTGAAAGCTACATTCAGGTTACTAGGGAAAAGGCTGAAGTACAGGGTCTCTGTGATAGCAGTCTCTGAATTGCTTCTGGTTTCACGTGCAAGTTAATAAAGACTCCGGCAATTGCATGATAGGATACAACAAATATGTCAACCATTGACTGCCCGGGTGTAGGAAGGAGCTTCCCTTAAGTAGTCAGGTTGTTCCATCACTGTCCATTATGAGAATGTTTGCCCCTTTCTTTGAAGCATCTGGTACTGACTGGCCGCTGCTGGAGATACATTACTGGACTAGAACTATTACTCCTCTGTTCTGGTATTGTAGTTCTTTTGTTAATCAAATTGTGATCAAAATAAACAGTCCTTGCATTGGGCCCTAAACATTAATACATCCAGATGCTGGTGGACTTACCAAAGGATCAAATTTTAAAAGTGTGGGTCCTTTAACTGAGAGCTGTGCCACGAGTTTTAAAATATTTGATTCCTGTGCCATCTGGTCATAGTAGTCAATGTACACAGAGCCAGTTGCAGGTTTGGGGCCTTAGATAAAGCAAATGCCTCATAGGTTATCTTAAATACTCTTTCGTGGGATAGTGTTGAAGGCACTCTGAGATAACTTGCTCTTCGGTGTTGAATATTCACTTGCTATATCTTAATACTTGTATTGTGGTAGCACTTAAAGACCCCAGTCAGGATCAGGGTTTGTATACACATTATACAAACACATAAAACATAGTCCCTATCCCAGACAGTTTACAGTCCAGATAGACAAGACAGAACATAAGCAAACTGTCAAAAGATATTTCTTGTTACCTGACCAGGTGCCCAGCGCTATACTCTTGGATCCCACTGAAACTTGAAGATCTTGCAAGTGAACAGTCACTAGTACTCATTGGTAACTAAAGTTGTTGAGGGACGCCTTGCCATTGTCCATCATTAGGAGAAAGTAGACAATTATACAAACACTCAGTTCTGTACCCGTATATAAGGTTCAAGATACAATAAGGGTTTTGAGTGTCATTTGTAAAAGAATAATGGAAGATTTTTAGCCTTTGAAATTTTTATTGACTAGTCATGCTTAAGATGCTTCCTGTCTACAATCATTCTAAGTATTTCATATTAAAAAAATAGCTTTTACTATAGGTCTGGAGCGAGAAACCCAGGATTTACACCAGCCATTTTGGCTGTATTATATGGTTTCAAAGAATTGGCATTTGTTTTCTGAGTTTTTAAGTTGCATATTAAAAGTAGCATCTGAACAGAATACTGTGGGAGACACAAGCAAAAAGTGAGGCAGTCTTTCAGACCTCCTCGCCCCAATCCTCACTTTCATTAACTAAGTATAATTGATTCTTAAAGAGAAGTCCATCCTGTCTAGAGTAACAAAAACGCAAAATAAAAAAACATTTTAAACAAGCACTTCCTTTGCATAGTAGTCTACATTGGGCCATTGGCTCTTTCACAAGGGTGCCAAAACCAAACAAAAACACTTGAAAATTCTCAGTATTGGGGTGTGGAGGGAAGCATCCTCCCCAAATGCCACTCTTGGGTACCAAATAAATACCAGTTCCCAAGCCCTGTATACCTTCTTGGCCGATGCTGCCTCTTCTATTTGC